GCGGGCCAAATTTGGCCCGCGGGCCACACTTTGGGCACCTCTGATCTAACTGCTCACTTTTACTCAGTACTTTTACTTTTAATACTTTAGATTTTGTGTCAGAAATTTACTTTTGATACTTAAGTACAAAAAATATCAGATACTTTAAGACTTTTACTCAAGTAATATTTTTAGAGAAGACTAACTTTTACCAAAGTATTTTCATGATAAGATACTTGTACTTTTACTCAAGTATCACTTTGAGGTACTTCATACAACGCTGGTCTGAACTTACAATTCGGTGGTCTTTATTCTCCTCTGGTTCTGGGTCAGACTCTGGCTCCAACGTGTACGGCTCTTGTTGACGTCTTTTAATTCATTTGTAAATAAAACGTTTCTGCGCAGCTATATAGTCGTAAACCCCTCTATCAAACTGTAATGAACCGGTCTGGAAGCTGGAGGTGGGCGGGGCATGAAGCGCCTCGTTTGGATTTAAAGAGGCAGCCTCAAAATGAATTGATGTGAAACACACCTCAGAAAAGAGGCGGGGCTTGTGGAGTTATAATAAGGAGGAATTCAGACCAAAGCGTTGCAGTTCCACTTTACACAGACCCCAACTGAAGGATTTAAATGTGAAAAAGAGGGATTTAAAAACATCATATGTCTCCTTTAATACTAAGATCATCATCTGCTGAGAAGGAACAGAGTTATGGTCATTTTAGTCAAGTTTGTAAGAGACACAATCTCCCATATTCTAATACTCTAAAATAGTTTAAATTGTTTTTCTTTTAGCAAAATGGGGGAAAATATCTTATGAATGATAAGAAATCTCAAAACTAATTTTAGTGAAACTTTCTGTAAGAATTKATTTGTCCTGCAGCTAACTGAACAAGAGTTAATTCAGCTAACGTCATCAGTCAGACTCCTCCCCTTTTAAGTGTTTTAGCATGTAACATTTTAAATAAGAAATTATTTTTAATCATTCACCTGGTGAGATCGAAGTGAAACCAACTAATTTGCAGAAACTGAGACAAAATCTAACGCGACAGAAGCAGTGAGTTGTTTACATCACGTAGCTTGAGTGCTAACAGATCACGTGAGGTCGTTCAAGGTTTGACAAACAAGACTGAAAGTTTTTTTTTCAACAGATTATCACAAGTTTGAGGAGTGGCAGGTGATATGCATTCCTTTAAAAGCAGACTGATTTTTTACACATTTAAATAGAGAATAAATTAAAATTATATAGAACTGGGCTGAATAAAACCAACAAAATCCCTGTAATAGATGCTTGAAATAAACATTTTATTCATTTTAACAGTTATCAAAGATCTAAAGATTAATGGATTTACAATTAATCTTTGTTTTCCTCATGTTGTACATTTTCTTGTTACCTTTTGGTTTTGTGCCTCTCTCCAGCAGCGATTTAAACCAGCAGGTCACATTAATGATAATAGCTGTAATTGACAGCAGGGACTCAGCATGAAATAAGTTTTAAAACTCACTCATCGAAACAGCCGAGGCTTTCACCCTTATCTCACCCTGCGTGTGTGTGTGTGTGTGTGTGTGTGTGTGTGTGTGTGTGTGTGTG